AATCTCGTTCATCAAGCAGATCCATCTTTTTCGATTCCCTCCACAAAAGGAACTAGGCCATTTATTTCCAAAGTTAATTTTAGTTCAATCGTCCATTTATACACAACGGTTAATAAGAGATGATCTCAATGAACGATTGGAACTTGGTGAGCAAAATAGAACAAGATGAACGGAAACTAGTTCCGATTTTTCCTTTTGCAGAATTTGTCCATTGAACTAGTTCGTTCCGGATCAATTGAGAGGAAATTCTGATGTATCATCGATAGTTGTCTCACTTAGACAAATACCTTAAAAATAAATTTAAAATATTTAAATGAATTTCGACTATTCCTAATGCTAATCAAATACTTTATGTTCCGACTAAAAATTCGATATAAATTCGCGAGCAACTAATTTTTGCTTGTTTCTTTGTTGTATCTTATCAGAGATGTCAGAGCTCGATTCAAATAAAAAAATCGAATGGAATTAAAAATACTACATATTGGAACGAAGGTTATTTCCACTTTAAAAGTAATCCGATTTTTATTGAGTTTTTTTTTTTTTTTTTTTGAATAATAACATAAAGTTTCCTTTCATTGAAGAAAAATAAATTCAGTCACATTTTTTTAAACATTTCCAAAATTGCATTTTTTATTGATTATTCAGAGGAATGGCTATGTGTCTCATTCTACACAAAATTTATGATAAAATGGAATGTACAAATTCCCATAATCGCTTAGGGTGTGTTCGAAATCCGTATCTTATTTTCAAGGACGTCTGTGCATTCTTAATGGAAAATTAAACAAATTTTACGCATTTTTTTGCAACGACAACGGCAAAAATTCCACAATCACGCCACAAAGCAAACAATTATTCATCAGACCAATCCCTTTCAAACTCAGAATTTTTGTGTTATGTGGCCCATATAAATATCACACCACGCAAAGCCATTAACACCGCTGTAGCTGCTGCTGCAATCACTTAGATTGTCAAAAATTTGTTAGACAACTTTCATAAATGTTATGGTTTGCTGTTGTTGTTGCTGGGTTTATGGACTAGTTTTTGTTGTTATTTTGTTAACTTCTTAACTTCCAAAGAAAGAAAGATTTGATATTTGTTTTTGGCCACAGTAATAAAACCTGGCGGGCTGGCTGGCTGCCACGGCATATCCAAGCCATGCTGTTATTGCGAAAAAATGCGTTTCTTATGTAATATGATCTATATATTACATAAGCGAGATACAAGCATGTTATGCGTGTTGTGTGCTAAATTTGAAGCTGTAGTACCTACAAGTCATAGCTCTAGATATTATGAATTGAGGAATGGTTGTTTGGATCTAACTAGCACTCTCGTTATGGCCTACAACGAATCTAGGTGGATGACTGACTGGCTGGCTGGTGGTTGCTTGCCGGGTGTTGGATAGTTATTTCAGGCCGTTCATTTGGACATTCCTTAACGCCAAACATTTATGGCAATAATATGAAGACCACGAAGCTACGGCTAAGACGGCCACAGAGAATTGAGAATTTACCAAAGCATGCCAGTCGTACGACGTCGTCAGTCACATTAGTTAAGACATTCACTTTGAGACAAACACGAAAACATCGACACACACACACACATATATCATTTACGACCGCCTCTGATCGCAATTAGATATCGGCATTTGAATTAATCATTTTTCTTATGCAATGTGGGATAACGATACAAAATAGAGAAAAATAAGTTATCAAATTGAACACTCGCACATGCACTCGTACATACAGACAGACAAACAGACATGTGTGTCACTTAACCAACGCCTTCTTTTTTCATTCAAATTTAAAATTTATTAATGCGTTTACTTTCTATTCATTACCGGAACATTGGCAACATTAAGCGGACATGGCCAGTGGAGGTAAAAATTAATAAAAAAGAAATCAATAAGTTTGTTTTATGAAAGACCGGCCATCTGGTTGGAATTGTGACATAATTATATTGCATGCAAACTGCAGTAATTGGAGACAGATTTACTTCGAGAAATGACTAAAGGGAGTCTAATTACAGTAATTTGTCATTTTTTGACATGGCCAGATGGACATTATACAACACATCAATGATACGAAAATAAAAAATTTAAAAAAAAATCTATGGGTTTACGCTTTGATATTTTATAATAAATATTAAAAACCTGTGAGCGGAGCCGTATAGTCGGACGGGGCCGACCATATGATACCCTACACAACTTCTACGAAAATCTAACTTTCTGTGGTTCCATATTCGGAGCATGGAAAATATTTCGCTGTATTTGCACCCTCTTGACCGACTAGAGGTCACCGAATATTACTAATATTCAGTACAGCCCTTCTAATTAATTGACCATATTCCCTTCACCGTAGGTTGTGTTGTGATGTTCGGCTTTTAATTTTGGCCTACAGATCGAATCGAAAAAACACAAAAAGTAAGTTTTCGGTCTACTTCATCTCAATATTATTATCTGATCATCACCGAAAATTATAGGCGTTGTCCTTGACCATACCTGGACCCTAATGGAAAATTTCAAAGCGATCAGCGCTATATTTCCGCCCTCTCGTGCGATAATGGGTTACGAAATAATATATGATTACGTAAGCACCTATAAATATTTAAATGCAACTCCCGCATTCGAGTACGTACGAGAATGTAGTTGGTACCAATTTAAAGGTCAACCAGTCCTCTTGGATATATTATCAATTTCTCGGGTCTATCAACTTCAGGGGTAAATATATACGCTATACAATACAAATTTTTATAATTTTGTACACAAAAGTCATTTGACCCACTAAATAAATTGACCGATCTTTATCAAAACAGGCATGCTTATTCTTTGGGCCGATCCTCTTCTCCAAGTAAAAATTCGTGATGTTTGAACCATAATTGCGGCCTCTGGAGGGACCAGAAAATCAGACAAAAAAAAGTTTTTTGTCCATATTATCCCCTAAATATTAACCGATCTTTACTAAAAACAATAGGGGACTTCAATGGCCAAAATTTCGGGAAGATTTTTCCATAACTGTGGCCTCTATCGTGTTTACAAATTATAATGGACAGACGGACGGAGGGACACACATGTCTAGATCGATTCAGCTAGTCGAGATATGACGATCGGTATACTGACAACATAGTTGTGTAGGGTATAAAAATGTATGCCTTGATATTTCATTGAAAAAAACTTAGAACTCATATTTGGTCGAAAAATATTTTTTTTTAAAAATCTATACCTTTATACTTTACTAGCATATACCCGCTACTTCGTTAGCAAATGTGGGATGTATTTAAACCCTATACCGACCATTATTAAAATTTTAGAATCATTTAGTACATATGTTCTCTTTAGTACGTTTTTCAAATCTACATCTATATATCAACCCTACACACCCATTCCGACCGCAACAGAAATCTACCTCTATGTTTTAGGATTCCAACTCTATCGGTTCACCCACAATTCAAATTGTACTAAGTTTAGTACATAGTAGTACCAATTTCCAGATCTTCCTACATACCCCAATTCTGCACCTCACATTTCAGGTTTCCAACTCTTTTGGTTCACCCACAAATCAAATCGTACTAAATTTAGTACATAGTACATACCCTACATACCCCAACCCTACACCCCCACAGTGATCCTAAATCAAAATTTCACGATTCCAACTCTATCGCTTCACCCACAATTTAAATTGTACCAAATTTAGTACACTTATTACAAATTTCTATAACTTCCTACATACCCCAATCCTACACCCCTACAGTGATTCCAATTCCATGTTTCAGGATTCGAACTCTATCGGTTCACTCACAATTCAAATTGTACCAAATTTAGTACACATTAGTATAAATTTCTAAAACTTCCTACATAAATCAATCTTACACCTCAACAGTGATTCTGACTTCAAATTTCATGATGCTAGCTCTATCGATTCACCTAAAATTCAAATTGTACCAAATTTAGTACGATTTAGTACCAATAAGTATTAATTTCTTAAACTTAATCCTTACCCCAAACCTACAACCCTACAGTGTTCTGATTCCAAATTTTATTGCTCCCGCTCTATCGGTTCACCCAAATCCAAGTTGTACCAATTATAGTACGATTTAGTACTTTTCGTACACATAAGTAACAAATTTCCAAAACTACGTACATATCCCAATCTTATACTACGACGATAATATTAATATTTATTTTAAGGATTCCAGCTCGGTTTGTACCTCTAAGCTGAATTTGTACCAAATGTAGTACCATATAGTACTTAACGTACACGTGAGTACACGGTTTCAAAACCCTCTCCTTATATCGACCCTAATTTGCATTCCATATTCCAAGTTTTTAGCTCTATCCGTTCACATGCTACAGAATTGTACCAAATTTAGTACATTTTCGTACTTTTCGGATAGTTATAGTTCGAATTTCCAAAAACTCTTTGGTACATTTACCCTACACTCCATCAACGACCACCAATCCAAATTTCAGAGTTCTAGCTCCACATGTTCGCCAAATACAAATGGTATCACATTTAGTACTTTTCGTACCGTTCTAGTACGAATTTCCAAAAACCCAGCCTTATATGTCACCTTTGGACCAAGAGTGAACCTCACACAAATTGTCAAGATTCTAGCTTCAGCCGTTTCGTCTGGGCGTTGATGAATCGTTAAATCAGTCAGTCAATCACTTTACTTTTTTATTAGTATAGATTCAGAAAATATTTTTTAAGTGAGTTATTTATAATTTTTCGATTCGAGCTAATGATCTAAGTTTTGCAATGAAAAGGAAAGCCAGGAGAAGAACCTACTTACCCACCATTATGCGACGCGTTTCGCCGTTGGTTAAGCGGCTCATCGGGCATATTGGGCAATGTGGCTTCATAAAGGTCGATAACTTGTTTTTATTTCGCCCTGATGAGAACTTGTATTTTTATTTAAAAATTTTACCACATAATATTTGGTTATATATATACCATATTTTTGTAATACCTATAGTTCCTAATGAATCCTTTTTTTCCTTACAGCAAAACTCTTCCTATCAATTTGGATTCGATGTCAAAGATGATGAATTCACAAATTACCAAAATCGCAAGGAGGTGCGCGATGGTGGCGTAATCAAGGGCAGTTACTCAGTCGTCGATTCGGATGGTTTCATTCGTACCGTCAAATACACTGCCGATCCCAAAGAAGGTTTCAAAGCCGAAGTTATTCGTGAGCCAACCGATATTGTTGTGAAAATTCCCACACCTCCACCACCACAACAACAACACCAAGGACTGCTGCGTCCCCATGCCCAGGCTGTTAAGGCTCAGGACTACAATTTGAAACAACAATATCAGCCACAATATCAACATTAGGGAGGAGATCGTTAAAAAATAAAATAAAAAAAAACAACAAAAAAATCGAACGAATTTAGTTAGGAGGAAGGAGTAGGAACGAGTTCCTAATACTCGTGTTTTATTTTTCTTAAAAAAAAAAATCAAAAACAAAATATTGTTTTCGAACAATGATATCATATTGTGTATTTGTTTATTTATTAGAAATGTTTTTTTTTTTAATTGTTTATCTAAATATGTATATCATGTGTTTTTATTTTCTATTCGAAACCATTATGTCAACTGTGTACGTTTTTATTAGAAATCATTCATTACAAAAATATTTTATATTTAAGTAAAAGCATGCGCCCATTTTTTAGGAAATTGACCATGCTTTTATGTTCATATTCATAACTATTTTTTTTTTTCAATACTCAAATTATAATTTTAATAAAGAAAAAAAATCATATAAAAATCTAGAAAAATTCGGGGTTTTATTAAAGATCTTTGATTTTTTTAGATAAAAATCCTACATAGATATTTTTGTAAAAATCCATGGCTGGATTTTTCATTAAGGGGACCACCCACCATTCTCGGGGTCAAAAATGTTGTTGATATAATTCGAATCTACACTAATTATAGAATGTGCCTACAAAATTCCAAATGAAAATCTCAAGAACTCTTGAAGATATAGCCGATTTATTGTGTCAGCATCAAGTGACGGCTGAAGGGCTTCTCAAACTTTAAACCCGTTTTTCTCTAAACATTTTTTTGCGAATGGCGGGTACGATAACTCAAAAACTAATAACCCAATCGATTTTTACACGTTTCTCTGTGAGTATGTAGCTATCGTATGAACTAGGATAAAGCCAATCGATGAAGATCTTCCTTATTTTTTAACTTGGGTTTTGGTAAAAAATCGGCGATTTTCCAAAAATATTTTTTCAAAGGTCCACCATTTTGTTAATTTTAGAGCGAAGTCAATAATCCTAGTTCATACGAGAGCCAGTCATGTACTCTTTCTAACACCGTTGGAATTTTAGGATTCCGATGTTCCAGTGAGGTGTTATCGTGCCCGCTATCAAAAATAAGGACTTTTCTTTAATTACAAAAAACAACAACAAACATTTTTTGTAAATTATTTTTCTTCTATTTTAAATCTTCTTCAATATTTTAAATCTTCAATTATATATGTGTAAAGTTACAATTCGAGATGAACAATTCCAGTGGTATAGAATATCCTTTTATATTTTTGTGTATAATTTAATGTCCTTTTTGTTAGCCTCTGGCTCATCAGCACCATTAAACATTGTCCGTTGCATTTCGAAGATGCTTTCATTTGCATATGCCCTGGCCATATATTTGTTTGCTTGATTTGGTTTTCTTGGTCTTTGACCGGTCAAACCGGTTTGTCCAACCGAACTGATCTAACTATCAGTGGGAAAATCTTTGAAGATGAACTTTCGATGTGTCATTGCTGTTGTTGTTATTGTGTAAGAAATGAGGTGTCCTTTTGCAATGTCCTTGCATACATTAAGGGACTCAACACAAATCGTAAAGATCGCCGCCCAAGATGCGTTCGTGTGGGAAAAAAGGGTTAAATGATTACGAAGTGACCTTAAATGAAAGAATAAATATGGAAAACCGGTTCTGGACATTTATCAAAGAAAGGTAGCCATGAAGACAGAGAATATACACATACACACACATTTACATATAGACATTTTTAAGGATACTTTGTAGCTATGTTGTCATATTTGTGTCGATATAGTTGATGGAATGTTAAACAATTCGATGATTATGAAAACCAAATAGTCCTGTGATGATGAGGTGGTTGGTCATACCCACGGTGATTGGGCATTGAAGACCAGTGGTCTGTTAGACGACCAAAAAGCGGCCAGCTGTTTAGTTACAAATTCCAAAATAATGGTCATTACATGTTTATGTTTTAAAATTAGTGAATGATATGCAAATGAATCTGCCTTCCTATTGTGTTGTCCTGTCTTGAAGTTAGACAATTCCCTCAAAAGATAATAAACCGAACAGACGCACCCCTATTTTCCATTACAGAGCAAGAATTATATTTACATGGATCATCACCACCAAACTGATCTTAAAGATTGCCCAAAGGGTTGTTGTCCTCTACATGAAGATACCATACAGGGAATTCCTGTCTTTATTTCGAAATTATCCTTAGGACATTATCATTTGCTTGTAACAGGGAATCACTTGTAAAAAGGTCATTACAGAAAACTGGTTTTCCACTCCCAAACATGATTGAAGGACGAAAAGCGGGACAGGCAGCCCAAAGTTGGACCTTAAGAAATGACCTTTCAAAGGATGAAATTTTGTCAATCAAGGATAGGAAAAAAAACTGGACTGACCACTTTTTACGTGAGAAATTTCTTCCAAAGAGAAAACAGACAACCCTTTATTTTTGGCTTCCAGCTTAAATCTCAGCTTCCATATTTTCGAAATGAAGAATGCAGTTTTCTTTTAGAAATGCAAATGTGTTTCTTCCCTTTCAGCTCTTCCTCAAAAACAAAACAAATGCAATTGACTTTAAGATTATTTTAAATAAATACTGCAAAGTTGTGCTAAGTCACGTTTTATTAGAACAATGCTCCTTAAAGTTTTCCCAATGCCAAATTCCCTTTAATGCAAAATATGAAAGAATCATTATATTTTCTTCAAATTATATTTCGTAAAGTCATTTTCAGCACTTACTTATGAAGATTTACACTCTTCCTAATTTCAAAACGTGTCTGAAAAAAATGTCGGCGTCAACAGCAACAATATTCACACTTAACATCTTGATGATGATCACAACCTTTCATTACAATTAATTGATTATTGATTTGATCAGACAATAGTCGATTAAAACACTTCTTACAACTAATTAAAATAACAATAACAATAATGTGGAAAAGTCAATAATAATCCAAACAATTCAGATACCCTACCCTCAGCAGCTCAAGATGAGGGTCTGTCAACACACAACAGCACCGTGTAAACATCACATTTCATGTTTTCCCTCCAGGGGTGGTGTTTTTTCCATTGTGGGTAATAACGTGGCAGCATCCTTAAACAGGACTGTTGTCTTGCTGTCACGCGTGTCCTCATCTTCATTCTTAGCACCCTTTGTGTCCTCAACTTTACCCTCCTCAGAATTTTGTATTCAAAGTGGATGAGTGTCTTTGCTATGACACTCTTGGTGCTGTTGATGATCCTCACGCTCAATTAACTTATCCTTTTTATTGTCCCGAAAAATTGCCCTCAATTTTCTTTCTTTTCTTTGAATAATAGAAGGATATGATAAATATTTTGGTTCATTTAAATTTACAATTGACTTATTAGAACGTGCCAGAGCAGGAGGAAGAGGCAGAAGAATTGATATGCCATTTGAAGGCCGATCGCTGTGTGTGGTGTTTTCTGATGGCGTTTCGTATAACGATGCAGCATGGACAGGTGTAAAGGGTGGAGATTTGTGGCTTTCATGGCGGGATTTATTTTTATTAAATTGTATAGATTCAAGATTTCCTCAGCCATACTTTGTTAAAAAGTTTTACCTTAAAATATTCTTAACAAATAAAAAACATGCCAAAGGCCAAACTAATAAATTTCTGAGAGTACAATTACAGTAGTCTATACTACTGTAATAAATCAAAATACTTTCTATATTCAATAGTGTCCTTTAGTCTCCAGTATCAAAGGAACATTGTCTGCTGCAGTAAGAAGATGCTTTTATTTGCATATGTCATGCCCACGAAGTTTTTCCTTGATTGGATTTTGTTGGTCTTCGAAAGGTCAAACCGGTTTCTCTAAGCAAACTGATCTATCAGTGGGAAAATCTTAGAAGATGAACTTATGATTTGTCATTTCTATTGTTGTTACGATATAAGGAAGGAATTGTCCTTTTGCAATGTCCTTGCATACATTAAGGGACTCAACACAAATCCAAATGATCGCCGCCCAAGATGCCGTCGTGTGGGAAAAAAGGGGTAAATGGTTACGAAGTGACCTTAAAGGAAATAATAAACTCAAAAATCGGTTCTGGACATTTATCAAAGGATGACTATCTTCTAAGGGATGGCTAAGAGAGGGAAGAATCACATACACACATTTACATATGGACATTTTTAAGGATACTTGGTTGCTATGTTGTCATATTTGTACCGATTAAGTTGATGTAATGTTAATCAATTCAATAATTACGAGAACCAAAGGTCCTGTGATGATGAGGTGGTTGGTCATACCCATGGTGATTGGGCATTGAAGACCAGTGGCCTGTTAGACGACCAAAAAGCGGCCATCTGTTTAGTTACAAATTCCAAAATAATGGTCATTACATGTTTATGTTTTAAAATTAGTTAAGGATATGCAAATGAATCTGCCTTCCCCTTGTGTTGTCCTGTCTTGAAGTTAGACAATTCCCTCAAAAGATAATAAACCGAACAGACGCACCCCTATTTTCCATTACAGACCAAGAATTTTATTTACATGGATCATCACCACCAAACTGATCTTAAAGATTGCCCAAAGGGTTGTTGTCCTCTACATGAATATACCATGCATGGAATCTTTTTGCTTACTTCGAAATTATCCTTAGGACATTATCATTTGCTTGTAACAGGGAATCACTTGTAAAAAGGTCATTACAGAAAACTAGTTTTCCCCTCCACAAAAAATGATTTAAGGACGAAAAGCGGGGCAGGCAGCCCAAAGTTGGACCTTAAGAAATGACCTTTCAAAGGATGACATTTTGCCAATCAAGGATAGGAAAAAAACTGGACTGACCACTTTTAGCGTGAGAAAATTTCTTCTAAAGACAAAACAGACAACCCTTTATTTTTGGCTTCCAGCTTAAATCTCAGCTTCCACAATTTCCAAATGAAGAATGCAGTATTCTTTTAGATATGCAAATGTGTTTCTTCATTTTTCCCTCCTCCCTAAAACCAAAACAAATGCAATTTTCTTTTGTATTCAAATTATTTTTCCTTTGTGAGTTTTTTTATTAAATACTGCAAAATTGTGTCGAGTCA